GATTTAGTGGAGTCTTTATGTGGCACTGTGGTTAATGGGTTGGCCTACAAGGACTACATCCTCAGAAACCCTATACAGGGTCGCTATGGGTCAGAACTGACTCGACAGCACTTAACAACAACAACAATTGATTTAGTAAATGAAGTCTGAATTGTTTATGAAGCTCCAAATAACTTCCCAGCAGAGACTGTTGCTTTGAGGCTCCCTAAACTGGATCTAGGACCCCTTCTTGTCTAGTCTTTAGGATTCTATTGCCTTGATTTAGATCAGCTCTTTCCATTCTTTTTAGCAGAATTTTTGTGGTTACTAAAAACATGCACTTAGAGCTTTTTTTTTTTGCATAGATAAAGGATTCCACATCAGATTTAGATCAAGAGAGAGATTTTCAGAAGAAAATGATGGCTATGTCCTTGGGGAGCGGTAGAATGCAGCGATGTTCCGTCTCTGGCTGATGGAGTGATGGCATTGATGAACACTTTCCACACCCACACCCACGCAAATACACAAACACTGGTCACCACTGCAGCTCCAGACACGGCTTCTCCCCCTTTCTCCCCGCCCACTTCCCAGTCTCATTTCCAAAGTTCATCCATTGTTTTCCATAACATGAAATAAATCCCTCTCTTTTGCCCTGTGGTGAAAGGCTTATATAAATACTAAAACTTCCGCTATTCCCCCGAGTTTTCTGTTGGACTTGTTTGGATGTTGACATTCATTTTCTGTGCAGATCTTTCAGGTCATTTGGGTGAGTCCAGTGGTGATAAACTCACTTGTCTTGAAAATGTATCAAAGTAACCATTATAACACTCCATTTTTTGAAAACTTAAATAAATTACAGCATGGTTGAAAAGACTCCAGGTTCAAAGTTTCTCTTTTTATTCTTTCGTCATATATCCTGCTAGTAATCTACACCTCTGTATAGTTTAGGAAGGCTTGGCCAGGAGATGGCTTTAACAGTCATTGAAAAGAATGTGAAGAATTGACTAGAAGCAAGACCTTTAGATTTGCATCATAATGTTTCCATGAAGAAAATTTCCCCCAAATTTAGAAGTGAAATATTTTATTGTTTAGGAAGTGGGGATAGTTAGTATTATTGGGCTGTAATAAAAGTGTGTTATTGAAAAGTCTTTACCATTATGTTGGAGAAAATGGAAAGTATTATAAAGACTTTTCAATAACACACTTTTATTACAGCCCAAAAACAACACAGCCTGGTATCTAGGCTATAGAATGAATCTATGAATGAATGAATGAATGAATGAATGAATGATGAATGAATGAATGAATGATGAATGAATGATAGGGGAATTGGGTTAATTACATTTCTAGTGATAGGATTAAACAATTTTATCAGATCCTTATGTAAAAGTTGTATGTGATTGAATATCATTATATAATAGTTTATCTTTAGAGTACATTAATCCAAACCTCTTCCTTTCATCCCTTTAATTCAGTTTTATCCATTAGTAATCTGAGAAACATACTCAAAGTAATAATAATGTTTTTTCTTTTTTTGTGTGAAAACTATGAAGAACATTTCTATAATTTAATTTCCTGTATATGTGCATTCTATTCTACCAGTCCTTCCATATTAGTGAAGTATTTTGCCTGCTAATCTATTTTTCAAATATCTTTGGTTACTCAAGATGATTAGTTAACTAAAGTGTTTACTGCTAATAACTGAAAATCCTCCACATGTTAGAAACTATTACTATCATCTTGGAGATGCAAGATCTTGCTTAAGAGATAAGAAATAGAAAATCTTACTAATTAATTAACTCCCTTTTTCTTAGGTTTAATAGAAAGAAAAAAGAAATTAATTTTTAAGTCAATAAAGTCCAATTTTCAATGATAATCCCTAATTTTGTGGGTCCTGGTATGGCGTTATAGGATAAGCACTGAACTGTTAATCACATGGTCGGCAGTTCAAGCCTATCCACCACTCCTTGAAAACCCTGTACAGGATCGTTATGAATTGGAGCCAACTCAAAGGCACTTAACAAAAACAACAAATAAATAAATACACAAACGAAACCATCTCCACAACTGATTAAAACAAAGCTTAAGAACTTGGATGAATTTGAATTTTGTTGGCTAAACTGAGATTGCCATGATTGTATGTCTTGAATTGTGATTAGTAATCACAGTAAAATTAAATAAGTAGTTCTGTTTATTTTTACGCCCATGTTTATGCTTCAATTTCAATGAACTTTAAATATAATGGAGGTAAAAGACATAGCTTTCTTTTAAAACAGCTACATTAGTTTGTATACTTTAAAAAAATTTTTGAGGAATAATTTAGTGTATCAGAATCTACAATAACCTGATATATTGTATTTAATACACGTTTTGCACGGTGGCTGGCATATCATGGTCAAAATTACGACGTTCTTCTTATTATATTTGCAAAGTACTCAACCCTGACTTTGAAATTCAGTGACATTTCCCACAGTTTCTCTTCTTCAGGGCATTAACTGTAAAACAGTACAAGGTGGCTTCAAAAGAGTTCATGGAAAAATGGAACTGAAAGATAATGGACTTTTTCCATGAACATTTTGAAGCTCCCTCTTATATAAGGATAAAAATAGAAGGAATTGCTTCTCTAATGGTGAATTGATTTGAAAGAACCAGACCTAGTAGCTCCTCTTCTTAGTATAAAATACTCCATTGCTGTTGAGTTGATTCTGACTCATAGCAATCTTGTAGGACAGAGTAGAACTGCTCTTTAGGGTTTCTACTGCTATAAATCTTATGCAAACAGGCTGCTGTATATTTCTCTCATGGAGTAACTGGTGGGTTCAAACCTCCAACTTTTTGGTTAGCAACCAAGCTTTGAATTTGTTTGTTTGTAGGTTTGCAGAAGAAATGACCAGCAAGTGGTTGAATCTCTTTGAAGGCAGTGGGATCCCATATGGCCCAATCAACAACATGAAGAGTGTGTTTGCAGAACCCCAGGTTTGGTTTTTTGATGCTTTTGGTACATGATGGTTAACAATATAGGAATTTGCATCTCTTTTCTGTCCAGATTGATTTATATAAATGCACATTAGCCATTGGTTTTAAGCTTAAGTCAAGTAACATGATTGTAACTTACGTAAAAGCTGTTTATGAGCCTGAAATAACAAATCAGAATTTAGAACTGGCTGTCTATATTATATAACCTTTCATCTTCTACCACTACAGGAACTGTCAGAGGGTAGGGCATTTGTGTTTTTGAAAAAATGAAAGATTGGGGTCAGGTGTTCTTTGTAGAAATACCTTATAAGAAACTTCACAGTTATAGTCAACATCTGATCACATGGCTGTGTTAAAATATAGAAAACAATTTGTAGTTAATTTTGCAGATAAAGAGGTTTTTCTATGATTTGATTAGTTATGCACCATCTGTGAAAAATAAAGTACATCTAAATAGAGATTCATGCTATTCATTGCTTAACAGATTCCTCCTTGGGGCCCAGGAAGACGGGCCACCTGAAAAATATTCCTTGTAGAATGTTCAAATGATTCTTTTGGAGAATGCCAAAATGATGTTTTGATTTTACTACTTCAGTTAAGATCACTATAAGCAATTTGCCATTTCTCAGTTTTATGTATTAAACTTATTAGACCTATAAGATTGAGGGACTCAATTTTTATGTGAAGGTTTCTCGAAGATTATTCATGCATCTTGTTAGTTTTCAACATTTCAAAATTATTGTTATTGTTTTGGATTAGTTTCATTTTTCTCTGAAATGAATTATTGAAAATGCAATGTACCGCTTTGAGGGAGAGGAACTGTGGAAAACTGATCTCTTTAATTTTGGTGATTTTATTTTTCATGAGTATCTGTTTAAAAAGAGAATTGAAATGTTTCCAATATTTCGTCGAGGAAAAAAAAGTAAAGTTAGCAGTTTGTGTGTGTGTGTTACTTTCATCCAAGATGCTGAGTAGGACAAGGCTTTGTCCATAAGACACCAATGGTCAATAAATAATTTGCAGGAATGGGGACCACTTGATGTGGGTTGAGCCACAATGTCAATGGTTTGAGACCTGATGATTCCTCGTGATGAAGTAGCCATGTACATTTTAAGCATACACTGATTGCAGACCCAGGCCAATTCTCTCACTTCATAACTTTGAGGCCAAGCTTTGGTTTCAAGGTGTTCTAGAGGAATGGTTGGATTTTATTATTACTTTCCTCTCTTCAGATTTCCATACTTGAACATGCTACTGGCGTGTCTAGGACTTCCTGTCAATCTCAATGTGAGGGCACATTTCTCTGAAGATATTTCTCTGGATATATCCCATCATTTTTTCTGTGATTGTCTTTTGTTGTTGTTGTTTAAACCAGGGATAAAGGCACAGATGCAAAGTACATTATTTTACAAAGTATTTCAATGTTATGATCATATTCTAATGCTATACTGAGGAAGGATCCAAGGTTCCACACAGGACCTTAAAACTCTTTACTATAATGGCTTGCTCAGAGTGAATATAGGATAATTAGGTTTTTCATGCTCAGTTTTTCTTTTTGTTGTTGTCATTGTTATCTTACTCATAGCAACTCTGTACTGAATTTCCAAGGAACAGCTGGTAGGTTTGAACTGTCAGCTTTGTGGATAGTAGTGTTTATCCTACAGCACCACACCAAGACAGTGTCTTTTTCCTTTTAGTTCAATTAAATTAATTTAATCTTTGCATTTCATTTTCATCTCTTTCAAATCTGAGAATAGAAATTTCTATTATTGGTCTGTGTTATATTTTTAGCACTCAGCCCACTTTATCAATGGAGAGAATTGATATTAGCTGAGCCAGGGTACCGGATTTCCTTATACCCTAATAGGATGTCTCTGAAAATTGCCTTCTTACTCCCCCCAAAGTAGCTTCTAATTGTTACAGTTCTAACATCAAAAAGTAATTGAACTGTGGTAATGCTGGCAATCGAATCTCAGTCACATGAGGGAACAGGTTCACATTTACATCTAATTTTGGTCTCCGAATTTATTAGCAAAATATATGCATAAAATTTATTTGAATGTCTAGAAAGACTAGAGAGTAAAGTACTGCTATTACATTTTTAGAATTGACAAAGATGAGTGTGGCAATATTACTCTTTGTAAGAGGCTAGGATACCTTCCTTCCTCTACACTTAGAGTTGTTGTCCCTTTTAAAAAGAATTCAATAAAATGTTGAATTTTGCATGTTATATAGAATATGGAAACTTCAGAGTTGTTTTTTAAAAAAATTGGTGGACAATAGGTTATTTCAGCAACGCTTTACAATAATATCTAACAAATGACTTCTTTAAAAGATCATACATTTATCCTAAAAACCTTATATATTGTACTTACTATGGAGTCCTGGTGTGGCGCTGCATGATAATGCACTGGATCACGAGGTCAGTTTGAGCTGCAAGGTCAGCATTTCAAATCCACCAGTCGCTCCTCTAAAACCCTATATAGAGTCACTGACTTGAGCACACTTAACAGTAACAACAATGTACCAGGTGCTAGTGATTTCATACACACTTAGTGATTCATATTGTCTTTCTGAAAAGGAACTGCGTATCAACTTACATAGCAGGTACACAATTCGTATTTGTTGATGAGTGAATTAATGAATGAATGAATTGGCTAACTCTACAAAGTATTGGTTTCTTTCATAACAAAGTAGTTTCTGTACAACCATGAGTGGGGTGGCAATCTCTGTGAATAGAGCTGGAGGAAAAGCCCTTGGTAATCTCAGCAGAATTGCTACAACTAGTGGCTAAAACCATGCAGTCAAAATTCCTAGGCAGTTCATACACTTTCTAGGCCTTGGCTTTCTTAATTTTCTAGTGGTGAACTAGGACTTCATCTTCTATATTGGTTTAAATGTTAAGGGAGATAATGAATATCAAGGGCACAGGCAAAGGGACTGTCAGATGGTAGACACTCAGTACATGATAGTGGCTGTGGTTATGATGGTATGACACTATGGGATAATGCTCTGGAATGCAAAATCGATTTTTGAACCGCAAGGACAGCGGTTCAAGCTAACCAGTTGCTCCTCAGAAACCCTATACAGGGTCGCTATGAGTCGGAACTGAATCGGAGGCACTTAAAAAAAAAACAAAAACATATCTTCGTAAGCAAAGACATTCTTTTAATTACTTTTGTTTATTGGAAAGAGGCAAAGTCTTGTTGCGTAGTTCAGAGTAGCTTCAAGATGAGGTTCATTAGCTTCAAATTAAGCTCTAACGTAGTGGTTATGAATCGGGCTGCAAGCCACAAGGTCAGCAGTTCAAAACTACCAGCTGCTTCGCGGGAGAAAGATGAGGCGTTCTGCTCCCGTAAAGATTTACAGCCTCGGAAACCTTGTGCAGGGTCGCTATGAGTCGGAACTGACTCCACGGCACACAGCCACCACCATTATCTTTGTATGAAATGCATCTGCAGAATCTGTGCCAAAAAGTTCTCAACCATCCATCATTTCTGATTGTTGAAAGGCTTTTATTTTTTCTGAAAGTTTCTCATAAGCAAGATTTCCGTCTAAGATGTTCTCCCTTGTTTTCTCTCTGATGACATGCAGAGCTTTTGGCCCCAGGTACATGGAACCTGCCACTTCTGTGCAGATGTGGGAACACACCTCTGGCTCCTGTGGCGAGCTCACTGTACCAGCACATCTGCTAGCTCAACTCAAAATGGGTTTGGATGAAGTACAAGACCTGGAAAATGGCGCAGGAAGTGGGACTTAGATGAAGTGAAAGGGTTATGTCTAACCAAAAAAGAAATAGAAAAAAAAGAGCATTAGAAGTATCAAAGAACAGGAGAGAACTTTCTGTGGGCCTACTTATAAAATGGACCATTTACATCTGCGGTTTGAACTTGGTAGACAAAAAGAATAAGTTGCTTTTCAGTAGAATCTATTTCTAATTGGACTCATTTCAATCAGTCTCATATACCAAGAAAATTTGATTTTTTGATTCATTGGAAACAACAGATGATTATTTTTTCTTGGATAGATGGAAGGTTGTCTACATTTTATCCTCTGATTAAGTGCCTTTGCACAGTGAAAATGATCCTACAGACATCCATGCTAAGTCAATCAAGAATACTATGGGAGCTTTGGGTCTGTATTTATTGATAGTCTGAGAAACTTTGATCCAAAGCTCTTAAAGTGGTAGTTTTGTTGTTTTCCTCCCTCTATAACATATTGTCTATGGAAAACTCTATGTGTCACAGAGGTTTAATATAGATTATCTGCTTATCGATTTGAATTGTTGTTGTTGTTGTTGTTAAGTGCCATCGAGTCGGGTCCGACCCATAGCGACCCTGTACAGGGTTTCCGAGGGTGTAAATCTTTACGGGAGTAGAAAGCCTCATCTTTCTCCCGCGGAGCGGCTGGTAGTTTCGAACCGCTGAGCTTACGGTTCGCAGCCCGATTCGTAACCACTACGCTACCAGAGCTCCTTATCGATTTGAATAGTGCCTCATTTTTCTAAGTGCTTTCTTAAAATATGTTCTTTTAATCAGGTCAAGATTGTGCAGTACATTAAAGGAATTCTTAAAAAGTTTCAAAAACTTACTAGATGACCTCAGTATGGTCCTATTTAACATACCCTTGGGAACATGTGCATGAAATACATTGTGGTTTGGGCTTTTCCAACCCAAACAAACTTAAAAGAAAAAACAGCTTTTAGTAGAAACTATTCAAATTCCTGGGAAAACAGGTATGAATCTCACCAGAGAGAGAGTTTTAAAATATCCTTATCTACCAGGAGAATCAAAAGAGAATCATCATCTTGTTTTCAGTATTCAGTATTTAAACATACTAAAAAGTGTCTGCTTGAAGAGTCTCGTCCATCAGCATCTTTGAAAAAGTTGCTCAATTAAAAAATATGTATATGAATAACTCAGGCTTGTTATTCATTTGATGTTTTTCTTTGTCCTTGATGCCAAGACCTGTGGGTAGAGACTAGAGGGCAAAGGGTGTCA